TCCTTATTATACTTATGCTATAAAGGCGCCCAAAACCCGACTCTAATTCTTAAGGCACCTACATTAACCTCAGGGTTTCGGGTTTAGCCCAAACCCTAAACCGAGGGATCAGGGAGAGGTTCAGGGTGTAGGGCTGCGCCCTGACATGAAGGGTCCTTGGTCGAAAGCTAGGTCCTCAAACAGAGCTTGGACGTCACAAGGTGCAAAACGCATTCGCGTCGATGTTTTGAATTCTTCTTGGACAAAATCCTAAACCCTAAACCCGACCACCAAGAGTGCTTCGCACCATTGTCAGTCTGTTAAATTGCGACTGATAGGAGGGCTTTGGGTTTAGGATCTGGGATTTTGCGTTGACTATAATCGATTGTAGAATACAGAATATGGAATACAGAGAATACAGAGACGACTTCTATAGAAGTTGTAGAAGTAATAGAATGTAGAATCTAGAATAGGGAATGGAAAATAGTATATATGTTGGTGGTTTTTGGCTTTGACCATTTGGGGTTAGCCGGTCCACGCAGCCAGCACACGAAGCTATTCCGAGAACTTCAAGATCAGCCACAAGGGTTTAGGGTTTCGAGTGCCGCAGTTGTGTGCTCTACAGCAGTACATTCCGAAGCCACCAAAGACAGTTACCTGAGTCAGCGCCGCTCTGCGCGTCCGCACTGAAAAAGTAGCATGGGCTTTTCAGAACCTGGACAAGCCTCTTCGCCAAGGCAGCTACACGCGTAGAAGTTTCTTCGTGCGAAAACAGGAGGACGCCTCTCAAAAGAACCGACCCACATCCAATGCAGTTCATTAATCCTTTGCTTGGTTCTATGCAAGCTTGTCGTTAGCATCCTATGGCAAATGAGCAAGAAAATTGCAGATATAAGCTACATTGGAGAGTGCGCTTCAATCGCTGAACTCCTAAACTCATGGAGCCCGCTACTCCAGAGTCCTTGCAATGGAAGCCTCAAGCGAGCGCCTCCATAGCTATAGAACTGTAACCGACTCTAACCCATATCCCTAAACCCTAAACCTAGAGAAGGCTGCTCTCCGACAGCAACTCCGGTGCCAGGGAGGCGGCTATGGTCGGCATCGCATGCCTAGGCTGGAGTCGAAGGGCTTCTAGGCTTCAGGGAGCTTAAAGGGGGTCGGAAGTCACCCTAAACCCTAAGCCCCTAGACC